TAATATTGCAGTTTTGAGGCATTTAATTTTTGCCATTATCTATGTGTAAACCGCTTTGAGTCCCCCTAGGGGTGAGAAAAGCAGTATATAAATGATGTAAATAATAATAATAATAATAATCAAACACTGGGCATGTTCCTTATAGGTGGAATTACAGTTTCATGGGTGTTTATGTTTCAGGTCTGATTTACTTAACTATAATATTCCAAACGTACTACCTGTTGCTAACAGAATTAAAAAAATCTTTGCAACAATGGCATCGGATAAGAAAAATGTAAAAGGACTCTAATTCAATGTATACTTTGCAATAATCAACAACAACAATACTTGCTAGAAACACCAAAGAATATTATTATTGCAAGAACAGTACTGAATTGCATTATCAAAGTCATGACTTTCTCGGTGTTTTTATATAGCTTGATTGGTCATAAAATGACTCCAAAGACTGATAGACATTTCCCATTGGATTTGTGAGAAATCTACTAGGACAGGGAAAGAGGCTGAAGTGAGTGTTCTGTAGCTTTCTTTATGAGTATTGCAGAAAAGTGTATCTGGCAGTTTTAAATGAAATATCAAATACAAAGAAAATTGAGAATTGCCAAAGATTTTTTAAAATGCAACAGAAGCAATTGGCAATTGTGTGGAGGAACTTTTAGCAACAAACAATATCATTATCAGGGTTCCTGATATTAATGGGGGGGCCAGGGTTTTAACATTTTACCTCTAGCTGCAAACCTATTCTCATACTCCCATCTTCAGTTTTTGTTGGAAAACACTCCTATTTGTTCAAATTGAGAGCAACCATACTGACCTCCTCATATAGTTTGCCCACCTGTTATGGATAAAAGTTTTAAATGAATGTGGTGATTTAAAAAACATTTTACTGTTTTGTATTATTAATGTGTTATGGTGGTTTAAGCATTGGACTATGATTCTGGGGACCAGGATTCAAATCCGTGCTCAGCAGTAGAAACCTAATGTGTAACCTTAGATTCAGAAGAAGGCAAAGGCAAATCTCCTCTGAACAAATCTTGCATGAATGGTTTCTTATCCAGTTTTGCCCTTAGAGACCCACATGTGAAACAATTAACTACAGTGTGCTTTTTAAAAATTATATTGATTTATGAAACTTTCTCTTTTTGGAGGAAGAGGAGTATGAACTGTATGTTCTGACAAGATTCAGAAAAGTTTGTTTTCTGTGGAAAAACAAACAAGCAGAAACATGTCAATTTTGTCCTCCCTTCAAGATTTTCCTTTGCCAATAATAATAGTAATAACAACAACAAAACAACAACAACAACTTTATTCTTGTATCCCGCCACCATCTCCCTGAAGGGAGTCGGGGTGGCTTACACAAGGTACAAAGTGCCTAAAAACAAAATATAAAATAAACACAATACAAAATACAATAAGTAGGATACATACGCATTTAAAACATCAACTAAGACTAAATAAAACTGTGCTCATCAACCAATGGAGGTAAGCGACTGTAAACATGGCCAGGCTGTAAACAATAGGGCAAGGGAAGGGCATAATGCAGAGCTGTAACAATGGAGAGAGGGTATGGGATAAAGTACAAGGTCGTGTGACTGTTGCACAGAACAATTAGGGACTAGGTGTTCTCAAAAGCTTGTTTGAATAGCCACATCTTCAAGTCCCTACAAAAGGAGGACAGTGTGGGGGCCTGCCTAAACTCCCTGGTGTTCCAAAGACGGCGGGCCACCACCAAGAAGGCCCTCTCCCTCGTCCCCACCAACTGCACTTGTGACGGTGGCGGGACCAAGAGAAAGGACTCCTCGGCAGATTTTAGAGCCCACACAGAGGGAGAGATCTCTATTCAAGCAGGGTTTAAATCTTTAATTACCTAAATACAGGAAACTGGAATACACATTCTGTTTTTTATCTTTAAATTTTGTAACAATGTTATAATGGTTTTGTTTTGTTTTGCCTTGTATTTGTTTTAACTAATTATATCTATGAGCAGCCTGGAATCCCACTTTGGAAGAAAGGTGGCATATAAATATAAATAATATGAATACATAAATTTAATTAGATTGTTTTTTTCTGAAGGTGGTACACAACATGTTGGCAATGAATGAAAAAAATTATTATCATGGTACAAAAATTTTCATATCTCACAAATTGCCTAAAAAGAAATTCACGGTCTTAGCTTAAACATGTTGACTTAGAAATAAGTGGTGTGCCCTTTGCTTTTATGGAAGCAGACACAGTTGTTAACCAATAGAAACTTGAAGGAGAAAAATGTAAAGTAAATATAGTGAGTATCAGGCAATGTATTTCATTACTGACACACTGTTAAGTCCCAAAAGCATTATTCATACATTCCAAGTTTTGGCTTGATCTCAAAATCAGAAGCCTTTTAAAACAAGTTCCTTCAATTAACAGAAAATGTAAGAAAACACTTTCTTTTTAGCTTTTGAGTAAACTGAACTGGCACAATCACATAGTTAAACTTCAACAATACAGGATCTGATTTCTGAAGGAGCATATTTTCTGTTGAAAATGCTTCCCTGTAGATGGTGCTCACATCCAACATCTGAACTATGTTGCATTGCTTAATTACGCAGGTTCCTCAAAGTATGTGCTTCTGGTATTGGATAATAGTGCCCCACCCCCACCCTTCAGATTTCTTTTGTGATCCCATAGCAAGGTTACGAGTGGGATCTGGGAGGAGTAAACTCCTAGAGAAAAAAAAAGATGCAGATAAAACTGGGAAGTGATAGGAAATTAACACTGGAGTTATTGCTGAGCAGTACTTTTCAAAGCTTTGAGCAGATGGGGTCCCATTCCAGGTAAAACAGTGCGCTTTTTATGGAACGGTGTGTTATTTATGGAATCTAGAGATATATTGCACCCTTCTATTTTATTTTATTTTCTATATTGTCTGGCTGTGATTAGCAACATGGAATTCATGAGTGTTATGGCAGGAAAGAATTATTCAATAAAAATCTCATTTGCAGCCCTTTGTGGTATTCAAACAAAAGCATAAAGCCAATTATGGAGTTGATGAACTACTACATTGAAATCTATATTTAAGAAAAATCTATTACAGCCAAAGCTGCACAGCCCCAAGCAGCAGAAATCCACCAGTGGTTGGTCAGCTACTCACTGTTTGACTGTAATGTACATTTTCATAATGGTGAAGCACACTATTTTGTCTCACAATGGGAAGTCGAAAGAAGGAAAATTATTTATAGCAGTCAAAGAAAAATGTGACAATACCCAGCAGAGAGCTGCTATATCATGCGCTGCTAGCAAAGAATGGGACAACGCTAATAAGGATGCCTGGTGTTCGGTAAAAGGTATTACTTGTTAGCATTGGTTATATCAGTTTTCAGTCTGCTTGACATTATTATCTCATATTACCAGAGAGAACAAAACAAGATCAAGATGAATTGAGGATATGAACAAAATTAAGATTAGAGCACTTGACTCAAGAGTCACAATTTATGTCTCCTTGACTCAGTGAAATTTACTCTCAAGCAACTGGGTAAAAGATAATATTCTCACTGTAATATTTTATTAAATAAATCTCTTTTTTTCTTTTAGTACTCAGTGGGGGAAACTTAGGGTTAAGGTTAGGGTTAGGGAAATAAGATGAGAATGGAGCTATACAAATTAACCAGAGGTTTTGACAATTTAATAAAAATGAAGTTCAACGGGGACAAATGCAAGATACTCCCCTTAGGCAGAAAAAATGAAATGCAAAGATACAGAATGGGGGCTGCCTGGCTCAAGAGCAGTACGTGTGAAAAAGATCTTGAAGTCCTTGTGAGGAGGAAGGTGAACATGAGCCAACCTGATGCTGCATATTCTCCTAAATCAAAGTTCTTTCTTATTTTGCTTCTTTATCCTTCTGCTAACTGTCATGTGAGCTTTCTTTGTTCTAAACTCAACTATTCCCTCTTGGGAGATCACTGCTACCTATCTAGCTCTAGTTGGTTCCTCTCTAGTGTTTGCTTGGTTTGACATTCTGTGCAATTTCTCCTACCCCATATTAGAAATATGCAAACTAAAATTATTGAAAGAATCTCAGGGGATGGGGAACTGATTCTGTGCTATTATCATTCACAGACTGGAAGTTTAGTGATTGACAATAAGGACTGCCAGGTTCTGTCCCAGGTCCTGAAATTTCAAGACCAAAGGCTAAGACATAGGGCTACATAGGCAAGAAAACCTGGACTTACCCTGAACTCAGTACTGCCTGTCTCCACCACATTTGAGCAATTCCAGAAAGTACTGTGGAATTTCTACTGTTTGCCCCACTGTACCTTTGGGGCAGTCTGGATTGCTGGATCAGATCGATTCAGACCAGCCCACTGTCCAGACAGGACACTGACACTATCACCCTTTCCCTGCTCAGGGAAAAGGGATGGAATGTACCCATGTCAACAGAAGCATCCACGCGACCAGTAAGATGGGAAATCACCCTGATTCTTCTTCCTAATCAGGTGGGAGCTTCCGTTGATGTCAGGATGAGATGTCTGCAATGGCTAGCAACTGAATCTTAGGGTATTGCTCCTTATCTCTGATCCGTATGCCAGGGCAAAGAACATTAAGTCAAGGGAACTGCCAGAGATGATGCCCTGAGATTCAGAGCAATGCCATTAGATTTGGAAACCTGATAGCTAACCACTATGTGGTCCAGCTGGAGCTGTTCTTCATTTGTGTTTTCTTATTGAAACTGCTCTTCATTCAGTTGTCTTTTTAGGAGTCCACAATCTCTGCAAAATACCCCTCAAATTCCATGTTTCAAAAGGGCAGGTTCTTTTCCTGTCAGCTTTCTTCAGTGTTCAGTTTTTACAACCATATATAAAATCAAATATGGCACAATTGATTCTGAGTTTGATATTTTAATTATATTATCGTTATAATTGAATATTACAGTTCGTATCTAGTTTCTTCATAGCCACCTTTAGAGTCTTAATGTTCTGACATATCTATGTTACCTATCTATCTTGCATTCTTCTTTAACCTACCTGGCATAATAATATTGGAAAAACCCAACTTCCTTGTTATTGAAACTCCATGGGTAAACATGGATGTGTAGTCCCTCCTAATTTGTTCAATGTCTCCATGTAGAAGTTGAAGAGAGACAGCCAGGCCTATAAAAGAAAAAGAGGAAAAGAGAAATGAGAACTATACACACACGCGCGCGCGCACACACACAATATTCGAGTATATAAGGAGGGTGCTCATGAAAAAGAGAAACATTATTTCAGACTAACATCAGAACTTTCAGGGCTGAGCTTGTACATTATACCTGTGTCTCATTTCTGTGTCAGCATAGTCTTTACTACAAGAAAGATGAGTGTCACTTTCCTCCAATATTTTTCAAGAGACTTGTGCAGACATGAATAGCAATGGCTGATACACCTGCCCATTTCAAACCCTAACTTACATTAAGTGAAAACAGAACTGGATCTAAATAAATGAGCAATTCTTCTTTTGCATTCCTTAAGATCCTAAATATTCTCAAACACTTTCGGCTAAGGGTACTACTGGCTATTTGGAGGACACAAATCTGGTAAAATTGTAAATTTGGGGCTCTGGCTATAGGAAGATAATGGCTGAAATTCTCCAGAGTTCCACAGATATGCAGCATCTGCCAAACCTTGGCAATTGCCCACATCTATATTACATCCTCTAACAGCAAAGACCTGATCGTGTACTTCTCAATGCATGCCCAAATAATGTAAAAGAACCTTCTTGAGCCTATTGCTCTCTAAATGTTTTGGGCAGTAGCTCCTATGAGTATTAGTCAGCACTAATGGGCAACTATCATGAGACTTATAGTCCAAAACATCTAATGAGGACTGTATTAGAAAATGCAGATGTGAACCAAAATACAGTATAGGAATTACAGGCACCAAGACTACTGCACATTCCTAAAAGAAGTTGACGACTGTCCTTCACTTCTTACCATCTAACAGATAAATCTAGAGGTGTGATTTCATTGGCTGAAAGAAGATATACTTGCTACACAGGCCAATTCCTTCTAAATATAAGAAATCTGCTAAAATAATAAGGTATTCTGCACTGCCTGGTGCCATTTAATCCTGTTATTTCTCTTAAATGCTTTAAAGTTCAAGACCTTAAACCTAATTAGCATTTAAAGGTCTCTCCAGCCTCTTGCTTTCATCTGTTTCAGGTTCCCATTGGGGAATTCTATTTTGTCCAGGAAGCAGAAGTATAAGTATCATAAATGCAACTTTTAACCTAGCTTTTAAACTAGAAACTACCAGCCAAGCATTTCAAAATACTTGTTTAAATACCCATTCCTTCAATATATGTTGAAGATAATGGGGACAGCTAGAATGAGCCGGGGAGTATAGTACTAGGATTTTTCAATAATTGCAGCCAGGTCATTATTTTATGTAACTTGAAAAAATGTATTAAAACAACACATACAAATACAAATAACCTTGCTCGAGCTGTCCCAAATTATACTTAGAATATGATGTGCTGCTGAGGAAAGAGAGTTGTGAATTTCCCCATCGGGAGTTCCCTTGTCTAAATGTATAACATGGATGCCAAGGGCATCCTCAAAGCATAGTTTGTTGAGAGAGGTGTGATGCCATGTAACAGCTACCTGAATACAAAATAGAGATTTATGGGTGAATGCAACTGCCACAGTCTATGTATGCAAGGAAATAGGATCTTTGCATTGATGCTGTAGCATAGAATAGTATACACCTGACAGGCCAGTTGCCATGTGAAATCAACCTTTAAAGCAAACAAAGCTTCTTCATGGTCACAAGGAGCCAACTCAAATATGGACTGAAATGAATTCCAGGAGATGTACAATTCTGTATCTAAAAATCTATTTTGCCAGGGCAGGATATCATTGCAATGACTGCAGCTAAGATACATGGGTATATTAGAATTCTTTAGAGTCCCCTTTGGGAGATAAAGGGAGGTATAAATAATAATAATAATAATAATAATAATAATAATAATAATAATAATAACAATAATAACAATAATAACAATAACAATAATTCTGCACGCATCATTCGAAAATACATCACACAGTCCTAGATGCTTGGGAAGTGTTCGACTTGTTATTTTTTGATACGAAATCCAGCATATAGATCTCGTTTGCAGCGACATACTGTGCTTTTGTGTCAGTAAAATAATAATACTAATACTAAAAATAATAATAATGCAGTCTGCATATGTAATAAGAGGGAACATAAAACAATCAGTGTAAATATTTATAACATAATTGTGGAGAATTTCTTACTAACTAATGAAATGCACACGATGGTATATGTAGGATGCAAAGGAGGAAAATACTGCCCTTCAGTACTGTGAATGGAAGTCATAGGGAGGAGGGAGCAGGCTTGTTTTCTGCTACCCTGGAGACTAGGATGCGGAACAATGACTTCAAACTACAGGAAAGGAGATTCCACCTGAACATTAGGAAGAATGTCCTAACTGGGAGCTGTTCAGCAGTGGAACTCTCTGCCCCTGAGTGTGGTGGAGGTTCCTTCTTTGGAGGCTTTTAAACAGAGGCGGGATGGCTATCTGTTGGGGGTGCTTTGAATGCGATTTTCCTGCTTCGTGGCAGGGGATTGGACTGGTTGGCCCACAAGGTCTCTTCCAGCTCTATAGTTCTATGATTCTATGATTCTAAGTAAATTGCATACCTACATAGAGCCTTGTTGGCAAAAAACAGGTTATAAATTTTAGGGGGAAAGTGGAATTTTAAAATAACAACTCCAGTGTCATTTTGGCTGAGGAAAGAAAGCATTTTACCTCCACCTCATCATTGAACCCCGTTTTACCCTTTGAAAAATCATCCTGGTGCCATCCAGTGTATTTTAATGTTTAGACAAATGTTTTTAATGTTTACATATGCATATAATGAATATGGACATTTATCCATGACTAAAGGAAGTTGTGCCTCTTTATTGAGTTTATAAGTAATAAATCTGTCATATGACATCATATTTGAAGTTTCAACAACAATAACATAATACTTTGTGTATCTTAGTAAAAGATATCTGTGTTCTATATATATATATATATCTGAATTTAACCATCAACAAACAATCAGTGATACAACTTCACTTTAGGAAAATCTAAACATTTGAACCTAAAAAATATTTCTATTCCACTATCAAGTAACAAATTAAACCTAATTGAGTATTAAATGCTGCACAAAAAATTGTCTCTGTCAAAGTTTGATTGTGCTGGTTTTTCATTTACGAAGAACAAAGAGAGATGCATTCACGCTGTGTGTATTTATGTTAAATCACCAGATCTCAGCATCATTCCTTCTCAGAATTTCTTTCAGAGTGAAACCTTTAGTGACAATTGATACTTAAAGATATCAAAATATAATATACATAATCTCTTTGCCTCTGAAGTGTAATGAAGGATTTAAAATGGCAGATTAATATCCTGCCACAAGAGTGTAAAGTAATTAAACAAAGGCACTCTACGGATGTTAGTGAGGTTTAGTGTAAACTACTAAGCAGTGTTGATATATTTCTGAACCTAGACAGAGGGTGAAGCAAGATAGCCTAATCGAAGGTAGTCTGAAATTATTTAAAATAGAGCAATCATTTTAGGCAGCTAATATTAGGTTTTGCAAAAGGTCAAGACATTGTTAATTATTATGTGATTGTGGTATCTGCCCTGTGAAGTCTCTGAAGAAGCCCTTGGGTGATTTCCACTTTCAGCTGCAAAATGAACTAGATTTGGGCAATTTTGAGATTAGTGCAATCAAGGTGGTTGGCTTTTGCTGTTCAGTCCAAGACAGATGCGGGTGAAACGTCAGGAGAGAATGCTTCTAGAACATGGCCATTCAGCCCGAAAAACCTACAACAACCCAACCATTGTGATATTGTCCACATGGGTACTGGGGTTGCTGCACACACAACCTCAAGTTTTTTGGGGGGGTTTTGCAGAATTTTTGATGCAAAACTTGTTTTTGAAATATTCACCCCACAAAATCATAAGATTAAAAGGAGGAGGAGGAGGAGGAGGAGGAGGAGGAGGACCCCCCACCCAACTTTAATATTCTTGTTCAGTGGAAGAAAAAACTTTTATATTAATCTAGTAAAATGCTCTCTACAGAATAAAGCCAAATTTAAACAGTGACAATCTCCAAACAAAAATGTTTGCTGGATATTATATTGCAGTTTTGTCCTAGATTACACTAAATAGCTATTAAGATTAGAAAAAGGATAACCTTGGGCAGCACAGTCCTGGACATCTGTATGCATCAAAAAAACCTATTAAATTAAGAAATATTGTACTGATTAAATGCATGATAAAGGAGAAATATTGTCCAACCTCAAGAGAAAGTTGAGATTTAACAATGCTATAATAATGATGAGAGGGATTCATCAATGCAGTGGCACAATGGATTAAACCCTTGTGCCAGCTGAACTGCTGACCTGAAGGACAGCTGTTCGAATCTGCGAGATGGAGTAATTCTCATCTGTTAGCCCCAGTTTCACATGTGGGGACATGAGAGAAGCCTCCCACAGGATGGTAACACATCCTGGCGTCCCCTGGGCATTGGCAACACCTCTGCAGACAGCTGATTCCAGAAGCGACTTGCAGTATATTCTCAATTTGCTTCTGACACGATTACAAAAAAAATCAATTGTGGGATTTATGAACAAGTAGCATGTTATTAAATGTAGAAGTGTGATTATATAATATTACTTTAAAGGAGCACTTTAGAACTTTTAAAAGTACTTAAAATTTTTAAAAAATCAGAGTGTGAAAGGTCTGTAGATTAGTTTCTATGATTGTTTGATAGCCCTATTTTAGTATGTATGTTTTGTATGTATGTCTGTATATTGGTTTGTTTTATTTTCTGTGTTGATTTGTGTGTGTGTGTTGTCATCTGTAGTAGATATTTACTTATACTGTAGTTGCATTTGTGAAAAAGAGAGATGTGTATCACTCTATAAGGAAAATAAAGTCACTAAGGAAAGTTCAATGAATGTCATTCACAGTTCTATTCTACATTTCCCTGCAGATATGTCCCATTGTATTCAATGGAGCTTACATCTTCTAGGTTTATCTGAGTAAAGATAACTTAATATAGAGCCCCCTGGTGGCAAAGCAGGTTAAACTACTAAGCTGCTGAACTTGCTGATCAAAAGGTTGGCGGCTCGAATCCAGGGAGTGGGGTGAGCTCCCCTGTTAGGCCCAGCTTCTGCCAACCTAGCAGTTCAAAAACATGCAAATGTGAGTATATCAATAGGTACCACTTCTGTGAGAAGGTAATGGTGTTCCATGCAGTTATGCCGGTCACATGACTTTGGAGGTGTCTATGGACAATGCCGGCTCTTCAGCTTAGAAATGGAGATGAGCAACAGAGTTGATTCAACCCCTCCCAGAGTCTTCATAATGCAAGCACATCAGAAGGTATAGCTGAGACTAATTCCATTTCTCCTTACTTTGGTCATATGGAATACAAATGGTATAAGGAATATTGTGAGTGTCAATAGCAGGTCTATCTATAACTGAGATATATTTTTCCATGAGATGCTAGAAAAATCTATACCAATGTTTTGTTTGTTTAGAAGTCTCCCCTCCCATTTCTAGCAGAAAAAATCAAATGCAGTCAATTGGTGTGAAGCTATTTTAGAGTTATAATTTAATAAGAGTATAAGTGTCATATAAATCAAGTTATAGCTTGATTCTGGCTTACATTATGCATCATATGTCTCATGGGAGCACACATGCATTCTCAGCATTATAATGATAGTTCCAATTATAGCAGAAAAATTATCTACATCTCATCCAGTGAACTCTTAGTTACTGAACAGCAGCATTACTGGCATGAAAAATTCACATAAATTACCCACATCTATCCACCAGCCTCTGTGACATTTGGCTAATTAAAGGTAGTTGTAGAATACTATTTTAGATTAGCGATATATAATATAGAAGCCAATTTAGTGCACATCAAAGTTTAAATGCTATGCATATAACATATTCTTGACATGCTTTAAGATTTCCGTATATTAACTGTTCAGGAATATTAACTCTTTCCAACCTCTCATGTCACCAGAGTTCACCATTTTTGGGCATTCCCATATATTCAGGGTTATATCATGGAGCCCCCGGTGGTGCAGTGGGTTAAACTATTGAGCTGCTAAACTTGTTGACCAAAAGGTTGCAGGTTCGAATCCGGTGAGCGGTGTGAGCTTCCGCTCTCAGCCCCAGCTTCTGTCAATCCAGAAGTTGAAAACATGCAAATGTGAGTAGATCAATAGGTACCGCTCCTGCGGGAAGGTAACGGTGCTCCATGCACTCATGCCGGCCACATGACCTTGGAGGTGTCTACGGGCAACGCCGGCTCTTCAACTTAGAACTGGAGATGAGCACCAACCCCCAGAGTCAGACACGACTGGACTTAATGTCAGGGGAAAACCTTTACCTTTACTATCATGGACAGCAATCCTACTCATTTCTACTCAAGGTACTCATATTCTACTCCGATTTAATGTACTTACTTCCAGAAAAACAAGCAAAGGATTCCTACCTCATTCTCTTAAAGTCCATGTGAGGTAATTCACCATGGAAGACAGTAACTATATTCATCTTATTTACATTTACTTTCATCTCATTCTCACTGCCCACAGTGGAATTTCAAATAAACACACATAGGATTGTAAGGCAATCTAGGAACCATCAAAGTTAAAAAAGGATTTGGAGGAATATGCAATTTCATGTTGCTTGCCAATGTGCAATTATGGCAACAGAGTAGCATTTCAAATTTTGCCAAGAAAATCAAAAAAGGGATTTACCAGCATTGGATCCCGTTAGGTTGTAACGAGCATTTAGTTTTTTGATGATGTTTTCATGGATCTGATACCAATCACTTTCTGTGTTGCACCTGCAAAAAAGGAATGTTTAAAACATTTTATAAAACAGAGAATGTATTTAATGTTCTAAATTTAGGTCTCTCTCCAATTAGGTAACACATATCAATATTATATCTTCTCATCTGCAAAACCGAAGTAATATCCATTTGTTTGTAGAGTATTGTGACAACGGGACTAAGGTAATCCGCTTAAATGAAACGTTATACAAATATATAATCTAAGAATGTATCCAAAGTCCAAATTTGGGGAAATACCTAGCTCTAAACATTCCCTTTAGTCAGCTCATGGAAAAATCAGTCATGCTCCTGACATCATTGGAGTGACCAGTGGCTGTTGAAAGCAACAAGAACCAAGTAAAAAGTGCAATATACACATCGTTTTTTGACTGTTGACAGCCTTCTGATTAGACAAAGAGATTAGCAATAGACAGAAGGGGGTAGAAATTGTAACTATGTGAGACTTGCAGAGCAACATCTTGCTTGAGATTTTGTTTAAGGTGTAAGAGTTTAGAGGAATAGTCAGTGCAGGGACTGGCCGCTTTGAAGGTCTTTTGAGGCCTCAGAGGTGTTGAACCCCAAAGTCAAAAGGAACACAAGGAATCCTTCTCCATTAGTAGGTCAGAGTAACATCCTTTGAGATCTGGGACTGTCACGTAAAGAACTTAGAGATTCCTACAGAGATCGTATTAGTCAAAACTGAAAATAATTAAACCTGCAAAAGTTAAACCTACACTGTTTCACTATGATGCATATTTGAGATTTTTGTACTTTATTCCCCAGAGCAACTTTTCCTTTGGTTGACTTCCAGGCAGCAGAAGTCATACTGTCTGTACTCTCTGTAGATATAGATATGAAGTAACTAAAGGTTAAAAATGTAATGGACTTTTTGTGATGTGTTTACTAAAAATAGGACACTACTGGAAGCTCGCTGCCAATGCCAATTCAAGCTAGGGAACTAGCTACATGGGGGAGGAAATTCAATTGTTTTTACAACAAAACTCATTCAAATTCAACAATCCAGTTAAATAAATAAAAATATTTTTTTCTATTTAGAATGTAATTATAATCCAAATTCCATGTGTGGTCGGTACAGAGGAAAGAATGCTATCCCTTTTTAAAAAAATAATAAACAGTTACATTTACAAAAGCAGAATGCAATCGGCAAGTAAACCTCTCTACTGCTGAGGAATCCAGCAGAGAACACTTTCAACTGAACTGTCAGAAAATTAAAGTAAAATAAGAGCACACTAAATTGCTCCCAAAACCATTACTTCCAGCAGCTATAATTCAACACACCAAGGGAGGGGAACAGGCTCCTGCAGTATTGACCTTGAGACATTGAGGTGATTTGTAATCCAAGTACTAACCCTGAAAACAACAAAAGTTCCCCCTGAATGTAGGTAATATCTCACTTTGTGGTTTTCTATTACTACTTTCCAAACCATTTGAGACCAAAGTCAGAAAACGTGCCTCTTTCCTGCTTCCAAAGAAGCTAGTTCAAAAATATGCACATTATAAAAATATGTAGAAACCTAGAAAGCTGTCTTATTCTGAGTCTATCTGAGCCCTTGGCCTCAGCTTGCACTGACTCTCCGGGGATGCAGATGAAAGTCTTTGCCAGGGATTGAATTTGGGATCTCTACTTGCAAAACATGTATTACGCTGCTCAGCTACAGTCTCTTTGTTGGCCTATGATCATTTTTCAATCCAGAATTGAAACTTAGCATGTGAATACAGATGAAAATAAATACCCACTAATTTCTTAATGAAATTTTGATAAAAAGAACAACGGTCTTCTAAGAAATACAAAGTTAGGAATCAAAACGACTTCCTACAGGCTGTTGCGATGAATTTCAAATATACTTTCTCTTACATGTATACTTTTAAAACAAGGTCATCTTTTGTGTCACCAGCTAGTAGGTCTGCTATACTGAGGACTGCACAACCAAAAGGTCGTCGGTACTGTACATTGCAAGAATTTTTCTTTTCGCCAGCTCCCATTCGACCTGTAAAAACAACATAAGAAGAGTAGATAGCATCTTTCAAATGAGTACCGGGGAAGGAGTACAATCATGTCGGCTGTCATCTAAAAAAACACTGATCTTATCAGATTGTACCTGAAGACAGAGCAGAGCATATTCACAACCCACTCCCAACAGACCTGTTCACTACTGCAACGCAACTTGTACTAGAGCAATGGTTCTCAACCTGTGGCTCCCCATATGTTTTGGCCTTCAACTCCCAGAAATCCTAACAGCTGGTAAACTGGCTGGGATTTCTGGAAGTTGTAGGCCAAAATACTTGGGGAGCCACAGGTTGAGAACCACTGTTCTAGAGGTTTCATAGCTACAGTATCAGCAGCATGCTCTAACTTAAAATGTTTCTCTGGGAAAGAGATTGCCAGACTCCATACATTTAAGCAGTGGTTCTCAACCTTCCTAATGCCGTGACCCCTTAATGCAGTTCCTCATGTTGTGGTAACCCCTAACCATAAAATTATTTTTGTTACTACTTCATAACTGTAATTTTGCTACTGTTACGAATATTAATGTGAATATCTAATATGCAGAATGTATTTTAATGCACTGGGGGAAAATTGGCACAAATACCCGATATGCCCAAATTTTAATACTGCTGGGGTTGGGGGGGGGGGTATGATTTTGTCATTTGGGAGTTTTAGTTGCTGGGATTTATATTTCACCTACAATCAAAGAGCATTCTGAACTCCACTAACAGTGGAATTGAACCAAACTTGGCACACAGAGCTACCATGACCAACAGGAAATACTGGAAAGGTTTGGTGGCCATTGACCTTGAGTTTTGGAGTTGTAGTTCACCTACATCCAGAGAGCACTGTGGACTCAAACAATGATAGATCTGGACCAAACTTGGCATGAATACCCAGTATTCCCAAATGTGAACACTGGTAGAGTTTGGGGAAAACAGACCTTAACATTTGGGAGTTGTAGCTGCCGAAATTTATTGTTCACCTACAATCAGCAAGCCTTCTGAACCTCACCAAAGATAGAATCGGGCCAAAACTCCCACACAGAATCCCCATGACCAACAGAAAATACTGTGTTTTCTGACAGTCTTTGGAGACCCCTCTGACACTACCCTCATGACCCCACCAGGGGTCCCTATCCCCAGGTTGAGAAACACTGCATAAAGGATGAGTTCATCCCTCTCACCTTTCTTCTAAACCAGGGTTGGGCAACTATGGGCCCATCAAGCCTATCCAGCAAGGTGAATAGTAGCAGATTATGGGAGATACAAAACCAGACAGCAACAAGAGTACCACAGTTACCCACTTCTACCCTAGAAGAACGATCTGAATGGACAAAAAGCATGATGTATGCATACAACGTCAAAACAAATATGTGTTGGATCCGTTGCAACATAAGGTCAGAGATGTGGATCTTGACAGACACCATTTGCACTCTTATCTAAGAAATGGTATTTACCAGAGCAGTCTCTCACATTCATGGAGCTCTCCATGGTGCTATCTTAGCATTTATTTACATTTCTGCCTACTGTGTGCTATCTTTGCAACCCTGATTATGGTAACAGAAAACTCCTGCCACAACTGAGCAAGCAAATCAATTTATTTGTTTATTATTTATTTAAAGCATTTAGATTCTGCCCTTCTCACCCCAAAGGGGACTCAGGACGGAGCACAACATATATACAGCAAAAATTCAATGCTGGAACATAAAACAAATTATAAATACACACAAACATTAAAATCAGTTGTATCACTTTAAAATCCGTTGTTATCACTGTCTATATGACAGCAAGGACAGGAAAAGAACTAGGAAAAAGGGGGAAAAAACAAAAGATTCTCAGAGGAGAGAAAGAAAAAAATCCAGGAATTTAAGGAACAATCAAAAACAAGAACTGTACAATTTTGCATACCCTTTTGTGTAAGAACGGATACCGACATCTGCTGATTTTCATCCCTGTGCTCTCCAAACTTTTCACTGCTACTGTTTTGACAATTTTTCAGCAGCTTGTCTGCTCCCTGCTTCAATCCTTCCCTTTTCTAAATCCCCATGAGCTATATGTTTAATTTATGTGGTGACAAAAGGCAGATTATTCCTAACAATCTCTGTTTTTGCTTGCTTCTTTTGCCTGCCATGTCTTCTTTGTGTTAAAATAAGCTGTGCTGCATGGCCATAAAAATGCATTGCGGTCCAACTGGTGTAATGAAAACACACATATACAGAGTGTCTATTCTAGGCTTTGCAAGATCCGAAATCATAAGCAGCTGAGCAGATGCAACTCAAACAGAAAATGTGTCGAACAGAATACTAAGTCTTCCATTTAACATTCATAGCTAACATCTCTAGAATCTCAAACTGCAATCAAAGGGTGAATTCACAGTTATCTTCCACTCCAAGGTGACTTTGCCACCATCTCATAGTAGAGATGAAAACCCTCAATTAATATGCAGTCTAGTCAGTGGCCCACATTGGTGCAGTCGTTTTCTGAATAATCTTCAATTCTGGTCCAGTGTCTATTAGAAGGCTTGCATCACACTACAGTTAAACCCTTTAAAATGTGGCATGTCAATGATGTAGAAGAAAGAGCTATTTGAATTCACACCCAAACATCTGACTGTAGCCATAAGCAAACTATCTACCTGGAAAGATGCAGAGGTGTTGCATTTATCCTTACAACACCACAAGAGACAGGACATGTTAAGAAAGGAACATCAAAATAGTATGCAGAAAATTTTGTTGTGAGCCCAGATTTAGACATGCTCTTCACACCTAAGTCTTCTTTGTAGTGGCCCCTCAGCTCTGGAATTCGCTCTCCAGAGATATTAGGCAAGCCCCACCCTGGCAATCTTTAGGAGGGGACTGAAAACTTGGCAGTTCCAGTGTGCCTTCAATGATTGAATGTACGTTAACTCCTGACCGCACACTGCATAAAATGCGCTCAGAAGCACTTTATTTTCTGGTATGTGAAATTAAATTTTGACTCATTCCCGGATCCCCTTTCCTGATATATTACATTGCCCTATCACCCAGTGGTTTTAAATTTTGAATCTTTGAAACTGGCCATGCATTGTGATCATTTTAGTGTTAAATGTTCTGAGTTTATATTGTTGCAATGTTTATTTATATTGGTTCTGTATTTTATGTTATTGTATTTTTAATTTTGTTGTGTTTTTGTGTAATACTGTGTTCTGTACTGATGGGTGTGGCCTTATGTAAGCCACCCCAAGTCCCCTTGGGGAGATGGTGGCAGGGTATAAATAAAGTTTAATAATAGTAATAATAGTAATAATAATAATAATAATAATAATCCACTGCTTCTTAAACTGTGGGTTCCGGCAACCTGTTTAGCAAGCCTTGTAAATACTAATTTGTCATTAGTAAATGTTTGATTGTAACAGCTATTTTATATGCCCATATATCTGGGGTCACATAAAAATCTCTGGAGCGGAAAAGGGTCATGAGTAGTAAAAAAAAAAAAAGAAGCCCTGTTCTAACAGGTATGGAACCACAAGATATGAAATGTATTGGTAGATCACCAAGTGATTTCTAGGCATGCGTACAACTTGATTACAAGGCTGTTCTGGCTGCTTTTTGTTTAAAACAGCAGTTTCTCCCATTCTGAATTATAACTCTGAAGCAAAGAAATCTTGGGATACCCAAGGGTGGATTTTCACATGGAATTTAATTCATTTCTGGTCCTCACTTGATTCTAAGGCAATCCTATCACAGTTTCCTTGTTCAATGGAGGTTTGCTTTTGCCTTCCTCTGAGGCTAAGAGAGTGTAACTTGCCCAAAGTCACTCAGTGGTTTTTAATGTTGGAGCAGGAATTCAAACCCTGGTCTCCAAAGTCATGTTCGGCTGATCCAACCATTACACAAAATTGCCTCACAATGCTCTATTACATTATTGCCTTTTCTATTACCCTTCTTTCTATCTTCTTTCCAGGTCACTCAGCTGCTTCGCTTCTGATTTTCTACTAAAATATTTTCTTTGAAATACTATGAACAATTCAGCCCAGATTTCCCAGAATAACATGGGAGGACAGTTTTGCTTCCTTCTCAAGGAGTTTTCTCATCAGTCTTACCAGAGAAACTGCTCAAAGTTCCCAGAATGACACTATAATATTGCATAAAAGGCTAATAATATAATTTTGGAATTTCTGGGTTGTTGTAGGTTTTTCAGGCTGTATGGACATGTTCAAGGAGCATTCTCTCCTGACGTTTTGCCTGCATCTATGGCAGGCATCCTCAGAGGTTGTGAGGTCACAACCTATAAGAATGCCTGCCACAGATGCAGGCGAAAGTTCAGGAGAGAATGCTTCTAGAACATGTCCATACAGCCCGAAAAACCTACAACAATCCAGTGAATCCGGCTATGAAAGCCTTCAACAATACATTTTGGAATTTGGCAAACTCCCATAGCACAGGCAAATACTGACTACTATCAATTAGCATACACTGAACAGTAGTTATGAATAGATAAAGGTGCATTCAACGTTCCACTATAGAAAGCACAAAATGCAACTATAGCTTTAAAGGCCAAGCTGGCAAGATGTGGGGGAGAAGAAAAGAGAAAGAAAAACCCACTATGGATGACAGGTAAGGATTTCACCACTTCATGCAGTGAAGCCCACATGACAGCTTCTTTACATAAGGAGATTAAAAACTCTTCTTTTCTATACTACCTCAACATTGTCTGTAGATTAAATCAGATTTGTCTAGAATGATGTTAACCATTGTGTTAAACCATCCAGGGAAGTGAATAATGTCTTTATTCATGTGCATTCTTGTATCAACACTGAATGTTACAAGACTAAAACAGAAAGAAATGAAAGGCAAATTCAGGAAGCAAAGCTGGTCTAGGATAAATGGAGGGGAAGATGGGAAGGGTACAGCAATTGTAATCAACACTGAATTTTTTTAACACCCCCGCCCAAGGCCGTTTAGTGAACACTTATCAATCACAATTTAAAAAGAAACAAGCAAAGGCTGGTTAGAATTAATGTGTCATTCTGACCTTTCTCTCCTGAAGATGCCCAGACTTGAAAAATACATTCACTTAGAACAGTTGTTCTCAACCTGTGGATCCCCAGATGTTTTGGTCTTCAACTCCCAGAAATCCTAACAGCTGGTAAACTGGCTGTGATTTCTGGGAGTTGTAGGCCAAAACACCTGGAGACTCACAGGTTGAGAACCACTGTCTTACAATAAAAATTGCTGCAAGACTGTGTCATTTCAGACACAGTCTACAAGTAGATCCTGCATGTTTGACAGTCCTCTGGTAGCAGAGAGCAAGGGGCAGAGGGAGACATTAAGAGAGAGATTTATACATGTAAGAAAATTCTGACATTTCCTGGAGAAGCAAAGATCAGGCGCTTTTACCCAGATACTGTCAGAGTGAAATTCACTGGATAACAGTGCATGTACCTGATGAGATGGATTATACTGCACAAAAACTCCTGCTATATTAAATGTGTTCATCCTCAAGTGGCATAGGACTTTGCATTCTTTTTTACAGCAACAGATGGTCATAGCTACCTAACAGAATATTATGTTGGTGATGATGAGAATTATTCAGTTGTGCAAATATTGTAGATTCCTTTGAACAATATAGTATATAAACAAACAAAGTGACTGCTTTCAAGGCACTGTATAGAGAGAATAAATTGCTGAATCATGAGACCTTCCCCATATAGTCTGAGACATAGTCACATTCTACAACTTGTATCTAGACCAGCCCTAAAATTCTTCCTAGGGCAACTCTATGCATATTACTAATTATTCAAACATAAGACAAAGTACTACCTTGTGGTCCTAAAGAATTGACAACAATAATAGCAACTACTAAAACACTAGCAGTTCAAAAACATGCAAATGTGAGTAGCTCAATAGGTACTGCTTTGGTGGGAAGGTAACTGTGCTCCATGCAGTCATGCCAGCCACATGACCTAGGAGGCATCTACGGACAACGTCAGTTCTTCAGCTTAGAAATGGAGATGAGCACCATCCCCAGAGTCAGACTTGACTAGGCTTAATGTCAAGGAGAAACATTTACCCTTTATCTTACTAAAACACTAAACTATTTTACCTGGCATAATGTCATTTTATTGTTCATTTTTACTAATTGCCATCAATTCCAACTGATTGTGATCCCATGAATGAGAGCCCTTTGAGTGTCCCTATTATCAACAGCTCTGCTCACGTCCTGCAATTCCAGAGATGCGGTTTCCTTGATTGAGTCTACCCACCAATAGTGGAGCCCTTAACCCAGTGGTTCTCAACCTGTGGGTCCCCAAATGTTTTGGCCTTCAAGTTCCAAAAATCCTAACAGCTGGTAAACTGGCTGGGATTTCTGGAAGTTGTAGGCCAAAACACCTGGGGACCCACAGGTTGAGAACCACTGCCTTACCCTTTTTCTTTAACATAAAGCTTTGGGAAATTAAATGTACCTACCGATGCGTATAATGTGGACAGTGATGTAGATGTCCTTCCTGAGTTCACTGCTTCCCAAATCCTGGTGGAAAAAATCAAAACAATGTATAATTAGTATGTGACATGTGTTCTTGTTATATAATTAATATATAGCAATATGATTTACAGGTGTTAAAGGCTGAGGACTCCTTATCCAGAATTATGAAATTTGAAATACTCCAGAAACCAAAACAATATACAGAAGGTGGCTGAGATAGTGACACTTTTGCTTTCTCATGGTTCAGTGTGCACAAACTTTGTTTCATGCACAATTATTTACAATATTGTATAAAATTACCTTCAAGTTATGTATATAAGATTTATATGAAACACAAATGAATTCTGTATTTAGACACTGGCCCTATCTCCATTTTTTTCATTATATGCAAAATTGCAAATATGGGCATTCCAATAGATAGATAGATAGATAGATAGATATCCCAAATCCAAAACTCTTCTGATTATCCAAGGGATACTCAACTGGTACTTAAAATGTAGGAGAATGTGCTTATTTCTTTATTTATTTTATATTTGGTTTATTGTATTTATCCTCACATGGGATTCAAGGAACCTAACAATAAGATAAGATAATATTGTTGTTGTTGTTGTTGTTCATTCGTTCAGTCGTCTCCGACTCTTCGTGACCTCATGGACCAGTCCACGCCAGAGCTCCCTGTCGGCCATCACCACCCCCAGCTCCTTCAAGGTCAGTCCAGTCACTTCAAGGATGCCATCCATACATCTTGTCCTTGGTCGGCCCCTCTTCCTTTTGCCTTCCACTTTCCCCAGCATAATTGTCTTCTCTAGGCTTTCCTGTCTCCTCATGATGTGGCCAAAGTACTTCAACTTTGTCTCTAGTATCCTTCCCTCCAATGAGCAGTCGGGCTTTATTTCCTGGAGGATGGACTGGTTGGATCTTCTCGCAGTCCAAGGCACTCTCAGCACTTTTCTCCAACACCACAGCTCAAAAGCATAAGATAATATTATAAAGCCAAAAATCTGATGACAGCAAGTTAAAAGACAATGTGTTTCCATCTAGGATACTGAAGACCAATCAATAAACAAGGAGATAAAGGATCGATTCAATATATTTTAATTGCCTAGCCTTAGTATATTGATTAACCACACGTTTAACCAGGGTGGTCCTGAGAGACATTAGGAGAAACTTGAGAATAACAGTTCTTCAACAGTGGAAACAAAATAAAAACAGATGCCCCAAACTATGTGATTTGTGTGTATTAAGCCTGCAATCTATTCAAGCTGATTATCTGTATGTTTACTTGTAATATACAAAAAGCCATTATACCCAGTGAAAAGTTACTGAGTCAAAAGGACAATGTATCTGCAACATTGAACTGTTTTGTTCTTGGAACTTTCTCTAGGACATGACATTTCTATTTTTCCCCTCCTATGATTTGCACTTGAATTTTACAGCTGGGCAACTGGAACAGAGACAAAGCTGTAATAAATAAATAAATAAGTGATAAATAAATGAACAAGTGGAATGACTCACCACAAAAAGAGAACAATGTCTTTCTGGCTTCTCTGGACATTTTGGTAAACCATTCCGATTAAGTCTTAAAAAAAATCTCTCACTGCAAAGAGAAAAACAACATAACGTAACTGCAACATTAAGACAGATTTGACATTATTATTGCACAGAAATGAGCAAATATATTCAGCACTTTTGTTTCTGTTATTATTTCCAGATCAACTCTTTCCAGATTCCAAAGTGACACTAACTTTTCTTTTCATCTTCCCCCCCCCCCCCCAAAAGTTTAATCTTCTTGGTATGCAGTAAAAATACAAAATTCCATGAAGGTAGGATCATAACTGAGAGCAATATTGACTTTAAATCAAAGTCAGATGGTACTGCTAAGGAGAATTGCTGCATAAAGTATTTTGTATACTAATGTATAAGTCTAACCAATGAGTGAGTTGATGGAAGATTTTGGGGCCAAAATTATTGATTTTGATGCGACATAGGTAGGTAGATAGGTAGCCAGACCAACATACACACACACACGCGCGCACACACACACACTACCCACATTAAAAACACAAAGTGAGAACGGTATAATAGTTTCACAGGTATCTTTTGAGTGGAGTGTTAGGAGTCATCAAGCTAGAAAAACTATTATTTTGACAAAACATAGCCATAGAAGCTGCAAGCTAAAGGCAGATAGACATCTTCTTCCATTCGTGCTTTCGGCTATGTAATAGCCCCTCCCAAAAAAGAGAACATGCACAGGAACGAGAGAGGAAGTATTTGGTACCTGTTCCTTGACTGGCTAAGAATAGCTAGGAATGAACAAATTTTATGGAAGAAAACAAAACAGAAGAAAAGATTTAAGATGGTCCCTCACTTTCTCTTTAGTTGCAGATTTGGCAGCTGTACTTTGTCAAACAAAGCAAACAAAGACAAACTACTCAAGAGGAAGAACTGCATGTAGCTTCTGTCCCTCAGTGATCAATAATACACTCCACAGCATCAGTTTTATGAAAATGACAGGTGGCTCAGTAAACAATGCTGATAGGGCAAACTGACAAATGTGAGAGCAAGCAGGTCCCACACACAACACCTTTCGCATTTCTTTACTTTCCAATCATATTACTAAGTGATGCCAAAGCAAATAAGAGCCCCTTCTGGACATTCCTTTTTTAAGTATAGCTTTCTCAGCTGTCTCCTTGGCCTCTGTCAAGGCCAAGTGATTGTTAAACATATGTTTGATTCTATGTACACTAGTAAAAATAGCCAGAATGTCTGTGCAAGTCTATTCAAAAGCACAAGGGAAGGGGTTCCGTAACTCTAAACACCCTCTAGTAAAAGTTAAGTTTATTTTATTTATTTATTTAAAACATTTATATTCCACCCTTCACACCCCACAAGGGACTCAGGGCGAAGCACAACATATATACGGCAAACATTCAATGCCGAGACATAAGACCATAAATATATACAAACATTAAAATCACTTATATTCACATTAAAAGTTGCTTAAAAACCATCTCAGGACACCATTTTGCTTCATTGCCCTGCCTCATTGGCTTGGTCCCACAGCCAGGTCTTCACCATCCTTCTGAAGGACAGGAGAGAGGGAGCTGATCTGATATTGCCAGGAAGGTAGTTCTGTAACCAGGGGGCAACCACTGAGAAGGCCCTGTCTCTCATCCCTGCCAAATGTGCCTGTGATGGTGGCGGGACCGAGAGCAGTGCCTCCCCAGAAGGTCTTAGTTTCCGCACTGGTTCATAAAGGGAGATGCGTTCGGACAGGTTCTTCTGGGATGTATTCTCAAAGGCTTTCATGGCTGGAATCACTGGGTTGTTGTAGGTTTTTCGGGCTGTAGGGCCATGTTCTAGAAGCATTCCCTCCTGATGTTTTGCCTGCATCTATGGCAGGCATCCTCACAACCACTGAGGATGTCTGCCATAGATGCAGACGAAACCAGGAGAGAATGCTTCTAGAACATGGTCATACAGCCCAAAAAACCTACAACAACCCATCTTCTGGGATGCATTTATAAAGAAACATTTAACAAGCTCATACTCCACTCTGGATATTCATGGCAAGTAGAAACACTTTTGTAACTTTGCTCTAAACAAGTCAAAACTAGCATGTTTAATTTCTAACTTTGGAGCAGTAACAGCTGTCAGAGCCTGGCAGGAGGTCAGACCCCAGTTGATCAGGTTTCAGAGTTCAGAGGAGAGTAAATGTCACTTTGAAGGGGTCAGGTGAGCAACAGAGACCAAGACAGGCAAGGGTCAAGCCCTCTAAGCAACAGCCATAGATCAGAAGGACAAGAAGAAAGAAAAACAATCCAAAGCAGCATACAATTAAAATTGCTGAAGTAGCATTTGCATTGGGGCATGTGGGAATATGCCGTAGGCATGATTTTTGTGTAAGGAACTGGCAGAACCACCTCTGAATCTTCCTTGCCTAATAAAACCCTATGAAATTAATGGAGCTGCCATTGATCAACAGGCAACTTGAAGGCAGATATACACATGTATGGGAAGAGTGGGAGAAGAGAAAAAGACCCTACACTGGCAGAACCCTCACATTGTGAGAAACCTAGATTCACATTGGCTGGGTTTTCTCACTGTGAATTAACAGAAGAGCTGTCACTTCTCACAGCAAGCAAGGAGTTCTTGGTTCAATTCCTGAGCATTGTAATGCTCCAAACATTCTGCTTTACCACTAGGGCTCTTATCAAGAGCATACTTCCTAATTCAGGATTATGTGATGTATGCATACAATACTTCTAGGTCCTGGCCTGCATATGGTTCCGATGTCCCATATATTTGTGGGGATGGTCCTAATAGGCCTGAGTGTAGCATTAGGACCACTAACACTTCCAATGGCATAAACGTCAAACTTGATTATCACCACTGATGGTATTTGGATGGTCATCAGTATCCTTTTACTCCCCTCAACCTTGTACAGCAATCCTCTTGATGCTAGAAAACTCAGCCATATTTCTGTAGGGACTATTTTATTTATTTATTTATTTACCATATTTATACACCACCCTTCTCAACCCCAAAGGGGACTCAAGGTGGCTTTACACATAGGCAACTATTCAATAAAAATAATAATAAAATATATAATAAAATTAAATACACATTAAACATTTTAATACACTATTAAAATCACGCCATCCACAATTGTAAACCAGGGCCATTCCAATAGTCATTGCACATATTTCATATCCATCTATTGCATTACAATTATTCTCTGAAGGCTTGATCCCAAAGCCACGTTTTCACTTTCTTTCTGAAGGCCAGGAAGGAGGGGGCTGATCTAATATCACTGGGGAGTTCCACAGTCAAGGGGCCACCACTGAAAAGGCCCTGTCTCTCGTCCCCACCAACCACGTCTGTGAAGAAGGAGAGACTGAGAGCATGGCCTCCCCATGAGATCTTAATCTTTGAGATGGTTCATAGAGTTGAGATATATTCGGACAGGTAAGCTGGGCCAGAACCATTAAGGGTTTTATAGGCTAAAACCAATACATTGAATCGTGCTCGGTAGCAGACTGACAGCTAGTGGAGTTGACTTAACAGGGGGTTGTATGCTGTGGTTATGACAGTTCTACATCCAGTTTACAGATGCCGAGCATACAATGCTTGTGATCCCACCTACTTTAGTTCTACATGGAGGACCAACCAACCTCTAAATTTTGAGTGTATTTACTTTTATATAAATGTCTTATGCTTTATAAGAATAAAAATTACGGCAGACTAATTTTCTTATGTAACTTGTAGATCTGCAGGGTTAACAACCAAGAGAGAAATAAGCAGAAATCCCTAACAATTAACAAAAAAAGCTTTATGGTACAGCTGGCCCATCACAAATAACTTCTGAAGATTTCATTATTCACATATTTGATTTAAAAGTTCTTTCTAGGAATCTTTAAATCCTTCAGTGTGATTTTGTGGTCAACTTCTGAAGGTTGATCACAGTTAGAAATTGAAGGTTGATCATAATGTTGTGCTGGAAGGCCTAGAGATTTCTGCGTTTTTTAAATGAAGGTCATGTGCCCCTAACCCCAATGAATGTGGAAAGCTGACTGCATTGTACTAACTTCAGTTTTCCGTAAAAAGAGAGATGAACTCCCCTTCAAAACAGAAATAGTTACTGTGAATGCCTGCAATATATCTATTGGATAATTTGATTATGTGAAAGCAAAAGCACACAAGCACACATGTGAATATACATTGCAAAATCAACTAAAAGGTGTCAAGCTTAATCTATTCATTTATTTTTCCAAGTTAAAATACTTCATCTATCACATTTCTGAACAGTCAACACTACTGCCATTCAAAATGATAGTCTCTGCAAGTTAAAGAAACAAAACTCATGCCCTTTTATTTAGGTATGGCATTCAAATTTGGCTGATCGTCTAGCACACTTGTTCTTAAATACATTTACTAAAACAGAATGAACCATCCCCACAGTAACACTCTTGTCACAAATGTCACTTCCAAATTGTTACTGTCATGCAGCTCAACTTCACTATCTTCTAGAGTGTATCGTGGGTCTCCATATCACGTGATTCAGATGCAAAGATAACTAAGACTATTATCTGGCAAGAGTTTTTCCCCCCCCATGGTTGCATTGAATGTCCTGGTAGCATCTCATGGAACACTGGGATATGTAGTTTAGAACAATTTAAAATTCTTCACTAGAGAGCATTAGTACCTTGTCAATGTATAAATTCCAGTTTTCTGTAGGAGATAGATATTTATGTTTATTTGAAATTATAGTGCTATAATTATCTAACATGAAAGTTCAGAAACAGACCAGCCCAAGAAATGTTGCTATGTGAGGCAAAGGGCAGGAGGATACCTTTCATTTTGAAAAAAAACAAATGTTGTTGAGTAAAATAGAATCAACTGTGACAAGACAGCAATGATACCCTGCAGATAGCAGTATAGCAAAAGAGATACAGGACACAACTCTATTCTCCATTGCTTTACCACTTTATTCCTTTGGGTTACCTAGAATCCACCACTTGAGACATCTGGCTCCCTCCTAGGACTTAACATGCCGCGAAAAAATTATAGTTTGAAATCCTAGAGAAACATATTGTC